TAATATACTGCGTAAAAGGTTATGCAGTATCTTACACATACTACAGTTGTTTAGACAAATGACAGTATGTTATCATAGGTTTCTCAGTATACAACCATTTAAATTACATGGATTCCAGTGTAGCTTTTGACAACTGCTTTAGACAACAAAGACACTAATAAACAGAAAACTTAATTACCTTTTACTCTATAAATCAGACATTGTTCACTTAGTTAACTACCTAAATAAATAAAGAGGATTATATTTGTATTTCTCAATGTTTAGAATTAAATAAGAAGAATCTTTAGCATTGGTATAATAAACTGCAGTCATTGCAAAGATTTGAAGTTAAAAAAGACCGAGAGTGTGAGATATGCAGTATAATCCTAGGGAAAGCAGATGAGTGCAGCTCACTCAGACAGAGGTATAACTGTGAGGCTGTCCTGTGACATTTTACAACACACAGGGGAACACAGATCACATGAACACTCCCCTGCTCTCTTCCAGCTCCAACCTCCACCCACTCTCTCCTGTCATTTTCTATTAACCTGTATCGTCAAATACCAGCATCGAAAATCAAAGAACCCCTAATGAAATTACAGTCAAATCCTGCAGAGATAATCTCATCCACATCAGCAATTTACAGACAAATCCAGCCTGCTTAAATACTGATTTCCAATCGAATGTTAAAGAATCAGCGCTCCATGTTGGGCTCATGTCACGCATTGTTATAGTCAAGTCCTTTTCTGTCTCTGCAAAATGCAGAAGGATACTGAACTGGGTGCATCATATTACAAAGTACATCATAGGATGTGTCAGATGAAACCACGGCAGATCTGAAGGTTTAAGAATAAGATAAAATCTTCTTAAACTCTTAATAAAAACCCTGCAAAAACACTGACATTCACAAGGTATAAAAGGGTTATCACAGCGATAAAATAAGAGAGGACATAAGTTCATAAAATGCTGTTATGATGTTATTATTAGTAGGAAAAACAACAGAAGATATATAGTTTTAGGAAAAATGTAGGAACACCGTTACATTGACATATTACTGATAAACAAGCTGTTTGTTTTAATTAACTGTATACTCATTTGAATTTCTCAAGTACAATTGTTTTTGTTATTTGGATAAATCTTTTAATAATATTTTGTTATATGAATGCATTGTATAGATCAATAAATACATTTTTAATTTCAAATTTGATCCAATCATTCATCATTTGTATATTTTTGCCTCATTTATTTCGATTTGTGTTCTTATTTGGTAGATTTTTTTCTTGACATAAAGTGTTTTGGGTTTTTTTTTATCTCATTACAGCAACAATTATTAAACCTAATTAAAATATTATGACAATATGAGTATCATTAGAAAGCTGTAATGATATAAATTGAAAGACATATAGGCTGTATGATAACAAACATATTTTAGTAGATTAGACCATATCTATTATATTTTTGGATAAATAGAGTTTATTAAAAAGGAAAAAAAATAAATGAATGAAAAACTGAAGAGACGCACACACATGACAAATGCACATATCCAGGAGTGAAAGGGATCAATTTCAATTTACTTGATTTCACCCACAAAATCCAATATCAATATCCTATATTCATGGAAAGTCCTGGAAATGAGTATAAAACAAAAGAAAACCCATAAAACAGCCATGCTGAAGACTTATTGTTGGATATTACACCGACTCTATAAAAGCAACTAGATATAACATTTTAAAATGTACTAATCTATAAACACATTAAGCCGGTGAAAATGATTTAATGTATTTATCTGTGACTTAAAGAAATGTATAAGATGATTATTTGAATGCTGTATGCTTTCATCCTAGTGTTACTGTATGCGCTTATAATCATGCAAGTTTTAGAGGGTTCATTAGTCTGTGTGGGAGATTTTACAAACTCATAATGAAGTATGTAAATGTGCAACTTATCAAAACGTTATAGTTTTTATTACTTTTATAATGAACATTTTCAATTTACAGTGATTATTTATGGAAATGATGAATAAAATATAAAATACAAAAGGTAAGAATTCCTTATAATGATCATTTTAATACAAAGATTTTAATTTAATACTACTTCCAGGTAAATTTGCATTTGTTCTCTGGTATCTTATATTTACTTTTGTTTGTTTAGAGCTACTGAAATCAAGAGTATAATTAAAATGAAAAAGATAGTGATCCCCTAAAACAGAGCATTTACCAGATTTCTTTATTTAGACTAATTCGGTGCCGATTATTTCTCCTATGAAAGCAGCTGGGATTGATTAACTTGAGTCAACCAAAAGAACTGAAGTGGATTTCAGCGGATAGCAAAATACAAGCAGACATTGTTCCTGAGAATCTTTTTTAAGTTTTTAAAGATTATAATATTCCTAAGTATCCCAAACTCTAAGTCTATTAGTCAGAAATCCTACCAAAGTAGCTGCGACTGAATGTTTCACAAATCTGTCACTTTGCTGCTCCACATGTCACTCTTTTTATTTGAAAGTGAAAGCCACGTGCCTCCCAAATTTAAAAACAAGGTATATGGGGGTTTTTTTTTATTAAAAAAACAACAATTAAAATACACATTGATGCATTTTGAAAACTATTTATTATTTTAACTTGAAACATAAAAAGTTGATGTTTAATGGTTTACCTAAGCAGTACAGTGAAAATACTACTACTACTAATAATAATAATAATAATGATATCCTTGTTGGGGCTGCCACACAGTTTTTACATCCATTTCATCCTTATTTCCTCTTCTTTCTTACTTTTTAATCTCATGTTTATTTGAGTTTTCTTTGGAATTTTGCATAAATAAAAACAATGTAAAAGCATATTTACACAGAGTGAGGCACTGACACTACATATATAAATTAAGCTTATAGGTTTAACACAACAAAGGTGAATGAACTACTGAAAATATGCAGGTTATAGCTTAAATATGCAATAATTACAAACTTCACACATCAGGTGACTATAAATACCGTTTCACTTAAGCCAGGACACCATGACGATAAAGTATGCTTAGTATAAATGTAATAATTTGTAATATTTTGGATTGTCTTTGTGTTTTCTCATCTTTTGAATAATTATAATTTTGCATACATAAAAACAATGTGAAGGCACATTTCCTGCACCTAAAATATCTCGGCACAGAGTTTTGGCTTTCCTTCCAAAGAAAAATCACCAGTTTTATGATTAAAGAAAAACATTTTTAATCTGTGTTTTTAACAGGGCATAATTTACTGAAGTTTGAATTAATGTTTGTTTAACAAATGGTCAGAAATAAGAGGAAAATACAAAGATTTCTATCAGGTGAGGTAACACACACTTTTTGCCCTTATGTATATGCGAAGCATTTGTACTTATCTGCATATTTAAAACTTCAAAATGAGTTTTGAAGCCACAAGAAACCCTGGCATATACTTTTAAAACAAAAAAAAAGAGAATAATTTTAACGATTTAAAGTCTTATGGTAACACACTCATCATTTGTGCTTTTAATGGGACATAATGAAAGTAAAGACACAATTTTAACAATATGGGATCTTTTTTAACTTATATAAAAACAGCAAAAAGTCATATGTGTGAATGACTGTGCAAAAAAAAGTAACTTTAAATCACTCACAGTGCATAAATCATGCAGTTTATATCAAAAACATATATATATATATATATATGCAGCCCTAATAAAAAACACATATTTTTTTCAGATTAACATGAAAAAAATTTTTTTTAATGTGATTTAAATAAACTGGCCTCTCTGTGTTTTTTCTGTTTTTGCATGTAAAAACAATATAAAGGCACATTTGTATCGTGGGAGACACTAAAAAAAAGTTTAATAAAAAAACTGAAATGATGTGGAGCTATAATTTACTCCCAGCAAGCAAGCTATGAAGTATGCAGGTATTAAGATGTGGACGTGCAGTGGGTAGTTTAAAGTCGTATTCTAAACCACGTAAATACAAATACTGCTGTCACTTGTGCTGCGCTTTACATTTTAACATGAAAATAAAGAACCTTTGATATAATTTAAGACTCTAAAATTACTACATATTCAAAGAAAATGTCTCTGTTGTGATAAATAGATGACCAAATCCCAATAGAAACATTAAACGTTTATCACATCTTGGTGTGAAATTAAATGCAAGCCTTTCCATGACCTGACCTTTAAAAAGGGGGAACTGGCCCGTTTTAGTGCTGCTCCTGCAGACAATAGAGGCTGGGACAGGGAACAGGTTCCTCACTAGAGGGGGCACCAGACCCACCGATTCTGCAGACCTTCGTGTGTTTATGTCACAGCTTTCTGATTGCTTCAAGCTCCACACAATCAAAAACAGATCCTCCTGAACGCCCCCATCACACTTCTCCACCCAAATGCTAATGCAATCGCAATGCAATAAGCATTTTAGGAGCTAATGACAGTAAAAACACCAGCATTATAAGAATATTCAACCCTGAGAATATATATTTACACCCGCGGATGGACATTAACAACCACAAATTATACCAAAAATATTGTGCGATGTTTAGCAGGTTTTATTGTTGTTTTATTTTCTTGGAATTTTAAATATATTTATTAGTAATCTGGGTGTTATTTAAAGCAGAATAACTAGTAGATTTTTTTTGTGTTAGTGCAGCGTTTTCCTCGCTGCCATGGAGGGACTGGAAACTGAAAGAGGAGGATTGTTGGAGGGAAATCCCATGACCTTGTCATTTCCCATCGATCCTTTTGTGTTATTGATCAATAATGGTAATCATAACACCGGTGAGTCTAAATAAATCCCATTCACCTAAATTGGAGTGGCGCGTGAGGAGCCACGAGGAGTGAGAAAGAGAGAGAAACCAACCAAAATAAAGCCAGCAAGAAGATTAAAAGTCAGCTAGTGATAAATGCTGAGGAATCATTTGAGGATATTTTGTTTTAATGTGGAGGATTTCTCCTTTTTCTTCTTGCTGTGGCACAAAAACAAATCAAAGCAAAGCAGCAGCAGCTCAGGTTGTTTTCCTCTCTTACCTGCCAGTCTGAGCGCGGACATTCTCTGAAACTCGGGCTCCTGCAGCCACTTCCACATCCTCCTGAAGGTCTCCCGGCCTGACTTTAGTTTACTCCAGGGTTTGGGGTTCCTCAGCAGGTCCGACAGGGTCCCCTGGGAGCGGCACAGCACCCTCTGGGCGAAGATGGCCTGGGGGATGCTGTACCTCTTGAGCTCCGCCGTGATCCTCTGCGCAACCTCCTTAGTGTTGATTTCTTCCAACTGTCCCGAGCTGTTCCCCCCCTGCGTCCCCGAGGAGGAGGGCGTTCTTTCCCGGGTGGAAGCCAACACGGGCCCGTGGGATGGAGACTGGAGGTGGGGGTGAGAGTGGGGGTGGTGGCCCGCCGAGGAAACGACCGGGTGTCCCGGGTGGTGCATTCCGTTCAGGTGCGGCATCATCCCGCCAGCCGGAGCGCCGAGGCCTCGGTGCTGGTGGTGGTGGTCCCCTCTAGCCAGCATAGAGGCTGTGTGGTCGAAGTTCAGCATCTTGTCGTGGCTCCCGTGCGTCGTGGTGCCGTAATTGTGGAGACCCTGTTGGGTGTTGTGGATGGAGCCAAGGCCGTTGCCCAGCACCGGGGAGAGGTTCTGACCCATCCCGGACATGTGGTCCTTGTGGTAGGGGCTGTAAATGTTGTTCATCCCCGGCAATCCCCGCTCGTCGCGCATCAGGGTGAAGCTCCCGCTCACGTTCCCGGAGAGCCGCTGGTGGTGGTGGTGGTGGTGATGGTGGTGGTGGAACTTGTCGGACACGGTGGAGATGGGGGGCAGCGGCTGCAGCGGGGTGAGCGTGGTGTAGGTGCCGCTCATCCCCATCCCGGGAGAGGAGGTGTCGCAGGGCACGCTCATGGCGTGGTGCAGCGGCAGGGACAGCTCCGGCCGGTACTCCCCGCTGCCGTCAAGAATCGTGGCCATGCCGGACACCATGGCCGAGCGGGAGGACGCGGCGGCGGCGGCAGCCAGGTCCTGGTGTATCCGCAGGGTGGACGCCGCCGCAGCCGCAGCCGCCGCTCCGGGTCCCGACGAGCCTCCGCGGCCGTGGTGCGGGCTGTGGCCGCTCATCAGCTCCGCATCAGGGGCCACGGAGCTCACCGCCACCCCGCCATGCAGGCTGCCGATGCCGTCCATTGTCATGTCCGTGTTCATGGCGTAAGCGTCCAGGTCCTTGGCCAGGCATCTATAGGCGTTAGTGTAGGCAGTCTTCATTCATCTGTCCTCTCAGTCCATCAGGTCGAGCAGAATTATCTCTCCTTCTTCTCCTCCTTTCTCTCGCCGCTTCTCCCGTGATGCGCCGGGATGGGTCAGTAGCCGTGTCCCCGTGTTTCCTCCACTCCCTCGGTGTGTTTCCCCCCCGGTCCTCCTTAAGGCCTCTCCAGCTCGCTCTCTTTGTAAAAAGTGTTTTATCTCGATCATACGGGCCTGTGCGGTGGCTCCCCCATATCCAGCCCTCTCCTCCTCCTGTTTTGCTCTGCTCCTCAGACGGGAGCTGTCCACGGTCCCCTAGCCGACCTCTCAACCCAACCTGCTGGGTGAGGAGGCGGAGGGGGAGAGGCGAACTCGTATACGGTGTGACTGACGGTGGAAGAGATCAATCAGAGGGACGGAGAGGACTCTGGGGGCGTGGTTGGCTGAAAGATAGGCCAATCAGCGTTTTTAATGATTGCAGCTGTGGGCGGGATCACCGCTGTTATGATATCGGTCTAAAGAAGACTTCATACATATTTTTATGTACTAGTTTAACATTTTTGATTAAAAAATAAAGACCAGTCCCCTGCCCTTTTCTGTGCTTATTTTAATTATCTATTTATTTATTTTCTTTTATTAAAGTTATTGAGATATTTTACTCAATGAACTTTGTACACCACATTTTACTGTATTTTAGTCTGATTTTCACGTTTTGATCTTCTTACGTTGTGATACTCAGCTTTTACATGGCATTTTGCTGTATATCATATAATTGTCTTATAATGATCGCGCTAGTGGGCTTCTTAATATTATATATTCAGTTCTTTATATAATATTTAATTGTATTTAATGAGCTGTTTTACTCTATCTGGCTTTAGTTCTTTTTAAATGATAATTTATAGCATTTTACTTTAAATGTTTAAATGTTATTGAATTACACTAATCTTTTTGCATGGCCTATTGAGATATTTTATTTTGATTTTTACTCGTTAAGCTCCTTACTTTACTATATTGAGCTGTTTACATGATATTTGATTAAATTTGTTGAGCCATTTTACTTTATGGAGCCAAATTAGAGCTTTTTACTAACTGTCTTACTTTTTTTAATCTCATAACTACTTATTGAGCTCTTATTATAATAAATACACTTTTTGCTTTGCATGTCATTTATTTACCTTCTTCAGATTTTTGGTTTTGTCATATTCTGCTTCATTTAAGCTTTTTTTTTAAATTATAGATTTTCTTTCGTGTTTTGGCTGCTGTACCATTATTTGCTTTTTCCCAGCTTCTGGCATAAAGAATATATTTATCTTGTTTTCTTATATAATTTTTTTAATATATTTTAATGATGTCACCAAAAACATGTATGACATGTCTCCTCCTGAATTTATGGTATTGCAGTATTGTCTGTTGCATGTATTTTCTCCCGTGTCTCGTATATTACTCCCACAAACTGTGATAAATTAATTCTGAAATTGTAAAGACTGTGCTGTACTTGTGCAGTGCAAGGCTTAAAGGTCATTATTGACATTGGGAAGGAGTCTGTCTGTTCTGGGGCTTTCTGTCATGTTACACTGCCTTCAGTGGCACATCTTGTCCAGTTTTAAAGACACCACCATGAAGAAGTCCTTCATATTCAACTTTACAAGATTTAATTGTTCCTTCTAAACAAATCTGTTTAATTATTTATGTCATATAGGGCTTTACATTAGACATATAAATAATTTAATACAAATGACTGAATAAACTAGAAATAAGGAAAGGAATGAGGTTTTTTTTAAATAAAGAAGTGTTGAAAATAATACAGAAAGCTTGCTCCATAGTTTGCCAAAATTACAAGTGCTAACATAAATGTGGTGTAAAATCATTATATGGATTTCTGAGTGTGAGCATAAAGGCTAAGAAACATTTCCACTGATATGAATGTGAACTGAGCCTTTAAGGCCAGTTTGGCTGAAGGTGTTCAGCATTAAGTGTGCAGATTCCCTAAATCACATCTTCATCCTGCGGGCATTCATCTTGGCGCCTTCTTGCGAGTGAAACCCAAAAAACAAAGACTTTAATCTGTGCGTTCTTTGTAACAAACCAAGGATGCTGTGTTTTCTCCTCAGCTCCTGCAACAAAAGATGCAATTTGCCCACAGGGATCATTAAAATTTGATCTCATCTCAGCTCTCATCGCATCACCTGCTGTCTCTGACTGTTCACCGTCAGTGTGGGGACAGGCAATAACACATGACAAAAACGTGAAGCACAGAGGAAGTGAGCCTTTATGCTTGTCTGATATTAAACAAGTGATGTTTTTGCAAAATACCACATGATTGTAACACCGTTTAATCTCAGCAGTCTTTTTGCAACTTTTTGATGCTGATATCTGAACGGACTGCAGCAAAATGTAAAAAATGATACCTATAATTGAGACTCACCATGTATATTCTTATATTTATTATCATTAAAAGCTACCAGGTTAGTTTTAGGCGATAAATATAATAGATTAAGTTTGAACGAAAGTCATTGTTTGGGTTAAAATACGTTTTTTCAATTTTTCCTCCGTCGCCAAGGTGATGCACCCCCTCTGAAGAGTCCAAAATGTAGGTATTTCATGCACTGAATATAAATATTCCATGTTCCAATTATCACTTTTTACAACCAAGAATCGGATTGTGAAGGCCTCCCTTTCTGAATGCTGCTTGATCCAAATTGCAGCAGATCCCTACAGGCTCTCCTGAGGGTGGTACGCCTATAGGAGGGCTGGCCCACAGAGACCAATGAGCCACACAGACGAAGGCCTAGCTAAAAGGCCCTCACCGATTAGCTCCTCCCTCAGGCTTAACTCCAGGGAGGTTCCCCTGGTAACCCAGAGCCCTGGCTGGGCAAGGTAACATGGACTACTGTCGTTCTCTTCAAAGTGGTCTTCTGAATCTCACTTAGTCCTTTCCCCTCATCCTGGACCATTTTACCTTTGGAGACCCCACAAGGAGAAAACTGGTGCTGAAGGACAACACAGCTCCTGGGATCATTCAGGCACACAAACCTTTCCGCTATACTAAAGTGGCATTTCATTGGACCATGGGCTCTGAGAGGAGCCGGTACTCCTGCAAAAGGAGCCAGAGCCTGAGGGGTTTGGGGCATGTCCAACCTGGAGGAGCTCTCAAGGCTGACCCAGGACAGAACACAGAGATCATGTCAACATGTAAACAGCATAAGTTATCAGTCCCTAAATGCAGTATCAGCACCTTCAGCAATTCTTAAGCTAGTCACCATGCAGGATATAAAAGACATACTGACTGACTAATAGAAGATTTTCATTAACTTCAAACTATCTAAAACGCATTTGTGAAAGTAATTTGACCATCACCCTAAAAACATGTACTTTACACAGTTATAGCAGAACAGGCCAGTTTAGCCAGCTAACTCAACTCAGCCGACATGTGACCGCTAACCACATGACATTTACTTATTGGCCACTTTGGATGTGTCACAATGTAGGATCATCACAACTTTTACTTTGATGGCAAACCTTCTCCAGTTCCAGTGTTCGTTGTACTTTTTCACATTTTATTACCACTTGCCTAATAATTAGGGACTGTTTGCTGACAACCATGAAAAACCACAGGCAACGTTCTTTCCAGTGAGAACCAGAAACCTCCAGGAACCACTGCTAATTAGTCAGTCAATGCACATCTTTCCCCAGAAACCAGTGGTTGTCCAGCATGGCTGACAAATATGGAACAATCTGCAAGTAATCTCACTTGAATTACCTCAACACAGGAAATCTAATGTCTTGAAAAAAGAATTGACAGAAAGAAAAAGAATGGGGAAGTATTACAACATAACATTACATGCTTTAATATTAAATGAGACCAGAAGTGTCTTAGACAAGGCATCCCCACCAAAGTCAATACTTTATTTTCTAACTTTAAAAGAAAATGATCTCAAACCAAACCAGATCTTTATGGCTTTTTCCTCAAACTCCACCTCTCCACCAAAATTCAGTTGGGTAATAATGAACCTATGTACCTCATTTAACTGGTAGATGAATATTGTGGGTGTTAGTGCAGCTGGACTGTAGCATGATGCTGGTTGGATAGATGTTTGCAGCCATGTAGCTCACAGTGTTGAGCGCTGGCTGCTGCAGCGTAAATGATGTGGTGGTGTGTCGGGACGTTATCGACAGACTCCGGGTGGAGTGATGAGCGTGGGAGCTGCACTGAGAGAGCATTATAGCCTGTAGCCAGTTCACTTTACAATTCATTACACTCCCAAGGACAAATGACTGCTAAATAACTCTGTCTGCCTCTCTGTCTCTGTGCCCTCTCCAACTGATCACTGCTATTGTTAGATAACAAGAAAAAAAAACATGCAGTTATTTTAGATCCAGTCAGTAAAAGTTCTGCTTTTTATGGCTATTTCTGTGGCTTCATAAATCTCATCAGTGCTTAATACTTGTGAACATTTTCTAAAGTAAGGTTTTGGATGGTGAGAGTGCTGATTGTTGGAGAATAGCTGCTTGGTGGAGCATTGCTAATCACTATTTTAGCTTTACTTTGGCTTTGAGAGAGAAATATCCAGCCTGTTCTCATTCTTGTGTCATGGATGGAGCCGAACAGGTAGAATGATTTTTAACACCGGCTGCTAAACAAAAATATCCACCTTTTTATTTCTCACATATACGATCTGTTACCTTTTTTGTAAGCCTGGCACTTCTTTGCCTCCTCCACTTGTCCAGTTGATAAAGTAGCCACAACTGGAGGACCAAAGAAGAAGTGGGAGGACTAAAAAAAAACAACTATATACAGCAGATGAAAATCACGTCTTTAAGAAATAAAAAAAGACCTGACTTTCTGAATGTCCTTCAGAAAGTCTGGAGAATTATTCCTGAAGACGACTTAGTAAAATTATAGGAAAGCTTCCCTAAGTAAGTTCAGATCTTGTTGAAGTATAAAGGTGGTCATCTGAGATATTGACTTTCAAACTCATGAAATAGCAAAATGGATTTTAAAAAAGGGATAGCTAAAGACTTTTGCACAGTTTTGTGTATAATAGAAACATAATCTAAAACAATCTGCAGAATAATCTAAATAAAAACAGAAGTGTTAAAGTGTAGGAAACAAAATTTGTGTCACTGCCAAGACCTTTGCTCATGACTGTAGCTATACGAGACAGCAGGAAGATGTCGTGCTTAAAATAAATAAATAATAGTAAATGTAAATAGGAAGTGTTTGTGTCCACACTGTGAAATGTCTTTAATAGACACCTTTGATATTTCTAGTAGGGAA